TAGTAGAACTCCCATAACAAAATAATTTATTGAAGTATATCATAACACCTATCAACATTTGGCTTTAGAGCACTTATAGTTTGGTTTCAGAGGGAACTAATGTGGAATGGGAGGCATATCCAATTCCGAATCAATTTTCACAAAATTTGTGGGACACATTTTAATCTTTTATACCAAATAATATTGGCATAGGGTGCATGGTGCAGGATTATATTAAAAAATATATATCGGAGCCAAAATTCACTCCATTTGGTTGCCCATATTCGACGGACCTTTGGGCCCATTCCAATCGACGAAGCTTGTCCGCAGGCAACATTCTTTGCGTCAATTGAATTTTGTACGGGAACAAATGCAAATCAATGCGAATAATCCGTTGTAAAGTGGACCGAGCCATGCCCAACTGCTGAGAACGGCGTTTTTGGGGTGTTCTTGGGGACCTCTCAACACTGGCTCGTACGGCTGCGATATTCTCGGCCGATCGCCTTGGTCGACTATTATATGGCCTCTTCGGATTAGAAAGAGCCTTACCAGTCGAAAATTTTTCGTATAAACGCTTAATGGTGTTCTTAGAAGGCGCACTTCTCACATTTTTTAATGTTTTAAATACACGTTGAGTTACCACAATTGACTTCTTCTGTTGAATGTAAATTTCAACTATTTCAGAGCGCTCGCGTGGCGTGTATTGTTTCATGGTAAAAATCTGCTTGGACTGACGCTTCAAACGCGGTATGTCATTAAGCGATGTGACATCTCTGTCAAAAGTTATGGCGTTGCCAGATGGGTCCGTCGAATATGGGCAACCCTGTATTAGCCATTTTTGCACAATAAACCTGAAATCGGATTAAGGATATTTCGAAGCTATATCCAATTCTTAGCCGATCTCGATAGAATTTGGCAAAGGTATTTCCGATATATCAATGGATATTACGAATTTGAGGGTCTTAAACACCAATCTAATCGGATAAACATATCGGATCCAATCGGATAAAACATATATATGAGAGCTATATCTATATCTGAACCGATTTTCTCCAAATTTGATGTACCTGCTTCTAGACTGAATTCGGTCGGATGTACCAAAATTAAGGACTACTGCTTCCTCAAATACAAAGGTTACCATGTTGAGTATCTTTTAATACTTTTTGTACCGTTACGGTACGAATTTCCCAAAAGCCAGGCATATCTGACTCCTTCGGACCATGAGTGATCATCACCCAAAATTTCAGGATTCTAGCTTCAACCGTTTCTTATGGGTGTTGATAAATCGTTAAGTCAGTCTGATTTTAGATAGATTTTTTTTTTAATTCCCGCACTTGAAACACCCTCTGCGTATGACTACCGTCATCCTTCACAAATTCAACCCCAAAGTCCTAAAATTAGTTTCCTCCCACTTACCTGCGTCTCGGTGACATTCACCAGCTTTGCCATTTTTAAGGACTTTTGGGCAGATATTAGTCATTTGGTGCACAATTAACCCGAAATCGATTGCTATATCCAAATGTGAACTGATCTTGATAAAAATTGGCAGATGTTTTTCACGGATGTATGTGATATCTGATATCAAATATCATTGTTGTGAAGTATTTATTACGCATGTGAGGAACTTAAAACCCTAAATCGGATGAAACATATGTATGGGAGCTATAGCTATATCTGAACCGATTTCCACCAAAAAGTACATCAATACTTTCCTCTAGCCTGAATTCGGTGAGAAGTACCAAAATAAAGGTCATTTGGACTTATATTGGCCATTTGGTGCAAAATTACCCCAAAATCGGTTGAAGATATGTATATGAGAGCTATATCTAAATCTGATCCGAAGATCATAAATTTCAATAGGGTTCGTGCTTTTGCCATACAAATATTGTTTGAAAAATTTAATGTCAATCGGATAATAAATGTGACCTGCATTTTGTTCACAAGAATACATGGACGGACAGACGGACGGACGGACTGACATGCATAAATCGACTCAGAAAGTGATTCTATGAGGATCCTCAAAAGTAATTATGGGGCTATCTCGCTTTCTTTTCCCTGTTACAAACAAATGCACAAAGACATAATACCCTTACCGCTATGTGGTAGAGGGTGTAAATTGATGCATTTAAATTTAAGAAATTGAAGAAAAATATAACCCCCAACAGGTCCATTACTGCATAAAATTCTACCTTCCTAAGGATTCTACCTTTTGGATACCTTTATCACATCCTCCATTAAAAATATATATAAAAAGCCCCGACGTCCACTCAATATATAATATATGAATATTCCCACCAATTATCATACCACCCTCGTATAATTGATATACTGCTCTGCATATGTGATTATAATCACACCTAATTTGAGCATTCACAAGCTCATAAACCACACATTTTCATTTATGTAAATATTATGTTGTCCTTGTTGGTGTTACTCTTGTTGTTGTTGTTATTGCTTCTATTATTTGCTGTTATTATTATTATCCGTAATTGGTCATTGATTTTAGTAATTTTTCGATGTGCAGCTATGTGGGTGCTTAGCAATTTTGTTCAATGAAGCTTTATTTACATAATGAATTTTGTCGTTTGGCAGAGAGAGAAGGAGAGAGAAGGAGAGAGAATTTTGCCCTGGAGGGGAAATTATGAAGGGGCTTTTTGGTTCACGTGAAAAGTTTTCCTTTGTTTATAAAAATGTTACTTTTCTCATAGTTTTTATTAACAGGGTGAGTTGAAAAAACTGCAACCAACTTCAGACTGCTGTCATTTCTAAGCGAGTCGTCCGACAGCTGTTAAAATTATTCCAGGGACAGCTCATTATATTGTTTACAAACCTAAAAAAACATTTTGGTGAGAATTAACCAGAAAAAAAGTTATTCGTGATGGAATTCAAGCGTGATAGTGTGATTTCTTTATATTTGGCTGGAAAACCACAAGTGACTATAGTTAGAGCATTTAAAGGTGAATAAATCTTTTGTGTCCCGTACCATTGTTAGTTACAGTGATACTGGTAGCGTAGCCCAATGTTAAGGAAGTGGACGGAAGAAAACAGCAACATCAGCAGAAATGGTTCGAAAAGTAAAGAAGCGACTTGATCGAAACCCGCGTCGCAGTGACCGAAAAATGGCTCGTGCATATCGCAATATTCCATTCGGAAAATATTGAAAAATGAGCTCGGGGAAAAGCCATTGAAATTCCAAAAAGTGCAAGAACTTACACCGCAACAGAAAGAAAATAGACTCAAAAGAGCTAAAGAGTTGCTTCGCTTGGCCGAAAGTGGTGAACTGCCGAATTTAGTTTTCTCCGATGAGAGAACATTCGTTGTCCAGCAGTTTAAAAACAAACAAAATGATCGTGTTTGCTTTCCAAAGAGGTCAGCTGAAAATGTGCACCTTCGGTTGGCCACCAGAACTCAAGCCCCGGCCATGCCCCTCAAGGCCGCCATAACAGCCAATGGTAGCTCTCTGATCGTATTAATCGACCGTGGCATCAGAATAAAGTCGAATATTATCGCGAAAATACTCTGGAGGGTGTATTAAAGCCTTGGGCACGCAAACATTTTGGCCGCAGACCGTGGATATTCCAACAGGACTCAGCAACGTCGCACTCAGCATGCGCCACCCAAGAATGATTACAAAATGAGGTTCCTTGCTTCATTTCCAGCGCACAATTATCACCAAAATCTGTGGATGCCAATCCGTTGAACTATTGTGTCTGGAGAATTTTGGAAAGCATGTTTGGCACTAAAAAATCCCAAAGCGTCGATCACCTTAAGCAAGCGCTTCGACGGAAATGAGCCAAAATACCGCAAAGCAACATTCGGGCAGCGTGTTACGGTTTCATTGGCCGTTTGAAGGTCATAATTCGTGCTAGAGGTGACTAATAGCAACAAATCTAAAGTTATTCTAAAATTTAATGCTATTTCCGACATTTTTTGCTTTCATTCAATAAAATTTGAAAAAATGTAGAAATTATGGCGTTTGACTTTGTTGCATTTTTTATCTTACCCTGTACACTCCCACAGTAACCGCAATTTCTAAATTTCAGGATTCCATCCCCATCGGCTTGCCTAGGTACAAATTGATCCGAATTTAGTACCATATTGTACAGAAAAGTACGAATTTCCAAAACTTCCCACATAACCCAATCCTACACTCCTACAGCTATCTTATTTCCAATTTTCAGGAATATTTCCAAATCCAATATGTACCAAATTACATACCATTTAGTACACTTAGGTACAGATGTTCATAATTACCTACATATCCCAATCCTACACTCCGAGAGTACTTATTTCCAATTTTCAGGGGATCAGCTCTATTTGTATCAAATTTAGTAACATTTGTATAAATGTCAATATATCCCAATCCTACACTCCGAGAGTAATCGTATTTCCAAATTCCAGAACTCCAGCACTACCAGTTCACCCAAATCGAAATCGTACCAAATTTAGCATCATTAAGTACTTTTCGAGCAAATAAGTACAACATTCGAAAACTTCCTAAAATCTAAGAATTCCAGCTCCATCCTTTGCTAAAAGTTAAAATTGTACTAAATTGTGTACCGTTTGGTACTTTTCGTATACATGATTACACACTTCCAAGGCTACTTCTTTACATCGATTCTATTCCTCACCCTTGATTTCCATTCCAAACTTCAAGTTTATAGCTCGAAATGTTCACCTGATACGAAATGGTACCAAATGCAGTACATATTAGTACTTTTCGTAGAATTATGATGAGAATTTCCATAAACCCTTTAGTACATCTATCACACACTCCACCAGTGACCCTCATTTCAAATTTAAGAGTTCTAGCTCTACTGCTTTCTCAAGTACAAAGGGTACCATATTTAGTATATTTTAATACTTTTCGTACAGTTCTATTACGAATTTCCCAAAAACACAGGCATATCTGACCCCTTCGGACGAAGAGTGATCCTCACCCAAAATGTCAGAATTCTAGCTTCAATCGTTTCGTCTGGGCGCTGATAAATCGTTAAGTCAGTCAGTCAGTGTGTCAGATTTTAGATAGATTTTTCCCGCACTTGAAACCCCCTCTGCGTATGACTACCGCCATCCTTCACACATTCACCCCCCAAAAGCCTTAAAATTAATTCCCTCCCACTTACCTGCGTCTCGGTGACATTCAACAGCTTTGCCATTTCGGTTCGTTCACTTGAACTAAGGTACTTTTTAATTTCAAACTGTTTCTCCAGCTCGAATATTTGACGTCCTGTAAATGTTGTCCGTGCCTTCTTTTTACGCCGAGCATCTGTCGACCCGGAATCAGAATCATCCTCTGTTGTTTCCATACAGCTAACAGCCGGCGGTGTAGTGCTAATTGCGGGTGGGGCCAATCGTTCACGCATCAGACTATCACTGCTGCCCGACGGACTGACATCGGGTGGCAGGATGGATGCACTGGATGCAACATGTGCCGCGGCGAGTTTCTTCTTTTTCATGCTATTCTTTACGGCCGCATGATGAGGATCTGTAATGAAATGTTGCAAATGGAAACAGTGGTCAATATTCATCAGTTGGGTGAGTGAGTGTGTGAGTGTATGTGTGTGAGAGTGCACTTTGTTGTTAATTAATTTAATGTGTTTATTTTAATTACACACAAACAAGAGATAATTCAATTTTTATTCACTTTCATCATAATTTATTCAACGCAACTTTGGTCATTTGTAAAATATTCTGTGGTATTTTATTTGCCATTTGACTTGGCTGGCATTCTGCAGTGGCCGCTGTCTGCCAACCAGCCAGGCAGCCAGCCAGCCCATCCACACAGTGTTTCATTAATTAATTGCACATGTTTAATTCACAATATTTATTTTTTTTTGGTTTTTATTGTTTTAATGTTTTTTGTCCCGTTCTCTCTCTTCCCCGGGGTCCGGGACCATACCATGCATACTATGTCATGCCATTATTTAATGTTTGCCTTTTCAGGATTTCCAAACACTTTATAATGGTAAAATATTTAATGGCCTCTTTGATGAGTTTATTTTTAATATGAGGGTTTGGGGTGGAGTGGAGATTTTTTTAATTTTAAATGCATTTCATTAATAATTGTTTTATAACCAGTTGCAGCTGGGAATTAAATTCATTATTAAAGTGGGTACAAATGAATGAGATTGTTAATTGTGGGACAGGGTGTGTATGAGTGATGTCATAACGTATACGCCATAATGTCGTTGCAATTCAATTAATTTTAATGATAAAACAAATAAACAAGTAAAAAAGCTGTAAGTTCGGCCGGGCCGAACTTTTAATATTCTCCACCATTTGGTACAAATTTGAAAATTTCCAAAAAAAAAAAAAAAAAAAAAAATAAAATAAAAATAATAATAATAAAATCCGTTAAAATTCTGTTAAAATCTTAAAAATACCGAATGCCTAACGACGACGTGGACCTGCATAAGCAACTTTTGTCATAAGTTATTACAATATTTTAATGCGAAACTTGAAGAAAAATCTGTTTAAATGTAGCTAAAATCATCAAAACACCGAATATAGGGGGTACCGTTATATGGGGCCTATACGAAGACGTGGACCTGCACAGACAATTTTCTGGCATGGGCTGAAGTATCCATTACGAAGTTCACATGCTGTATTTGAAACAATCCCGGTAAATAATGTCGCTAAAATCATCAAAATACCGAATATCGGGGGGTACGGTATATGGGGGCTATACGAAGACGTGGACCTACATGGCCCATTTTCTGTTTTATGCTGCAGCATCTATTACGAACTTCAAAAGCCAACTTTGAAACGATTCCCGTAAATAATGTCGCTAAAATCATCAAAATACCGAATATCGGAGGGTATGGTATATGGGGGCTATACGAAGACGTGGACCTACATGGCCCATTTTCTGTTTTATGCTGCAGTATCTATTACGAATTTCAAATACCAAATTTGAAACAATTCCGGTGAATAATGCAGCTTAAATCATCAAAATACCGAATATCGGGAGGTACCGTTATATGGGGGCTATATGAAGACGTGAACCTCCACACACAATTTTCTGTCTTAGACTGTACTATACATTACGAACTTCAATCACCAAATTTGAAACAATTCCGGTGAATAATGTCCCTAAAATTATCAAAATACCGAATATCAGGAGGTACCTTTATATGAGGGCTATGCCAAAACGTGGACCTGCAGAGACAATTTTCTGTCATAGGCTGTAGTAACCATTACGAACTTCAAATACCAAATTTTAAATAATTCCGGTAAATGATGTCGTTAAAATCATCAAAATGTCGAATATCGGGAGGTACGAGAACGTGGACCTGCCCATTTTCAATAACTGCGTGCATAATATACATTTGAGTAAAATTTTATCAATCTACTTAATTTCGTGCGGAAGCTTAAGCGATTTCCACAGACGGACACCGCTAAATCGACATAGAATTTTATGCTGATCAAGAATATATATACGCTGTGTTTAAAATGTATACTACCATGGTGGAGGGTATAAAAATATACGATTGCCGTTCCTGGAATTCTTCAAAAAATATACATCCCTCGAAAAATCTACGATCATAACTCTGGGGATACTTTTGAGAAAATCATTTCGTCAAAATCCAAAATTGCTTAAAAATTCCTTCTCTAAAAAGTCTCTGGAGGTGTATTGAACAATGTTCCCCAAAAAACTCATGATTGCATTCTGAAAAAGCCTTAAAATGTTATTCCTTAAATAATCTACTATTACAGCTTCTAATTCCCAAAACGTCCATGATTGCAGCTCTGAGCCCTACTGAGCCCTGGAGTTCCATTGATAAAATGTTTTTCAAAAATATATCATAAAATTCGTATTTATAGGTCATAATGGGTTCAAGCACCGGTGGCGAAACAATTCCTGTATAGGTCACGTTTTTGTATAACCTCTATGTAACGGAATTTTCATGTTTTTTGTCACATTTTTGCAAGGATTTGTCTAAAAATTGGTATTTGTAGTTCAAAATGGATTCCAGCTCCGGTGCTAAATATTGAAGATTTAAGTCCAGTATTCCTAAAGCGCATATATAACGATACCCACCGATACTCGGTGTTTTGATAATCCTCGTCACATCTACCCACGAAATTGTTTTAAATTTAGTATTTAAGAAGATTTGGTAGATGACAATCCTTGAAGTATAAAATTGTCTATGGAGGTTCCCGTTTCGGTATGGCTTCCATCCAACGGCCTAACCCACTTTATGTTTTTTTGAAAAGTTTAAAAGCATTATCCAAACGGTTTTACTGGTATTTGAGGTTTTAAGCGGAACATTTTTGAATTTAGATACTTTAATATAAACAAGTAAAAAAGCAGCTAAGTTTGGCCGGGCCGAACTTAATACCTTCCACCATTTGGAAGGAACTTGAAAAATTTCAAAAAACTTCCGAAAACTACCACTTAAATGAAAACTGTTATATGGAGACTATACAAAGACGTGGACCGGCTTACGATATGTTTTGTCATACGCTGTAGCACCCATTACGAACTTCAAATACGAAATTTGAAATAATTCCGGTAAATAATGTCGCTAAAATCATGAAAATACCGAATATCGAGAGGTACCGTTATATAGAGTCTATACGAATGCGTGGACCTGCGTACGATATTTCTTTCCATAGGTTGTAGTATCCATTAAGATCTCCCAATACAAACGGTGAAACGATTCCAGTGAATATAGTAGCTGAAATCATAAAAATACCGAATATCGGGAGGTGCCGTTATATGGGGGCTATGCGAAGACGTGGACCTGCACAGACAATTTTCTGTCATAGGCTGTAGTACCCATTACGAACTTTAAATATGAATGGTGGAGGGTTTAAGATGATTTATTTCCGATTGTCTTCAAATTTCACACATTCCAATATTTTTATTAATATAAGATCTGGTGTGAAGTTGGAATATATCAGTGCACCATTTCTGGTACCTTCCACACAACGGAATTTCAATAATTATTTATCTCAAAAAAATTCGAAAAAAGCATTCGACTCACAAAACCCAATATTTTTACTTATACAAAATCTAGTGAGTAGATGATAGATATCGGCCTATCCCTTCTGGTACCTCCCACACAAAGGGTCACAATTTTAAATACTTATATCTCTCATAACCTGCGAAACATATCAGCAATTTTTTTTTTTCAAATTTTCTATAACTAAATATTTCTCTCAATCAGAGATCTGATGTGAATATGGAATGTATTGACTCACCTCATCTCGTAACTCCTTCACAAAGAATTAAAATTTTGATTATTGCACAAAAAAAGGCCAACATTGCGTATACATATTGCCGTGAATCATACGCTCCATATTCTATTAATTAAATTTTTGGTGTAGTTTCATTTAAAACCGACACTGTTTTAAGAGACTGTGTAAAAAGGTTCTATATCATTAATGCGTATTCATATATTTTCGTTTTCCCTATCTTCGCTCTCCAATTGTTTTTTTCTGTCTACCAATTAAAACCCATTGTTATTAAATTCACATTCATTTATCTCTTATTTCAATTGTTTTTTTTTTTTTTTTTGTTCGTCCCCAGTTCTAAACATTATTATTAGGCAATTAAATAAAACTAAATGCTGCAAAAACTGCGTAGCTGCGGTGTGGCGATATTAGCAAAAACCGCAATTTAACCAAGAATTTATGACATGTTTAATGAACGGACGAACGACCAATTTGCAATAACAACAGCAGCAACAGCAACAACAAAAACAACTGCAACAAGCCAATTTAAATAGAAATACTTGTTTTCGGTCTGTCAAAGCGACAGACATTATTTTGATATTTTCATTTGAAATTGAAATTCATAAATTCAATTAAATTTGCCACCAATCCGCGATTGGCCAATAACTAGCTGAGTGCATTCGTGTGTGTGTGTGTGTGTGTGATTGCCACACTAAGCAGTAAATCGTATTTATTATAAACAATATTTTGAAATTGGCGGATTTGCAGGGGATTTATTTATCGATTTTTTACGATTCTATCAAATTTATGTTTCGAGATTGAAAAATGTATTGCTAGTTTGATAAATTGCACTGTGCAACACAAAAAAATATAACTCTATTTCAATTGTACACCTTAAAAAATATTAACCTCAATGTTCTCAAAAAACCCGGAAATATTTCCTATTTATACCCTCAGCCATATGCATGGGGAGGATACAGGGTTGCCCATATTCGACGGACCCATCTGGCAATGCCATAACTTTTGACAGAGATGTCACATCGCTTAATGACATACCGCGTTTGAAGCGTCAGTCCAAGCAGATTTTTACCATGAACCAATACAAGCCACGCGAAATAGTTGAAATTTACATTCAACAGAAGAAGTCAATTGTCAAAACTCAACGTGCTTTTAAAACATTAAAAAATGTGAGAAGTGCGCCTTTTAAGAACACCATTAAGCGTTTATACGAAAAATTTTCGACTGGTAAGGCTCTTTCTAATCCGAAGAGGCCATATAAAAGTCGACAAGGCGATCGGCCGAGAA